ACTTTTCGGCCAATCTTCTGCTCCTCCGCAGTCCGCTGTCTGCCACTTGTAATTTGCATGCCGGACGAGCATATTCTGCGGCCAAATGACCCACGCTGGCTCTTATTTATGCTTTCCAGTGCACTTTCTCGCAGTTGCCGAATACTCGTAAAGTGCCGGCGGCTTGGGTGTTCTGAAAATCATCTTCCTTTCGATATACTCCAGGCGATGGTGCCATCAAAATCATATGATGTTTCCCAGTAAGGAGAGTACAATAATATGAGTTAAGTATACCTTTAAGACCTTTAATGGCTCCTACTTAATACTTAAAGCTCTATAATCTTTGTAAACTAGTAGTAAAATGCCAAATTAATTACTATATTTAACAGCTATATAGTAACTTTGTTGTTCAAAACTTTCATTAAAATTTAATTAAGTAGGATAATTCTGCTAATAAGAGCCTGTTAAATGCCATTTGGCTTACATTTTGTATTGAGTGCAGGCTTATGGGATTACTTTCAGGTGTGTAAGCTGCATTGTTTCACAAAACTTGTATATTAATTTGCCACATGAGGTCACCCAGTTGTCTGGTGTTGTCAAAGATAATGCTCAATAATTAAACTGGTGAATCTGATTCCAGGAACTGCTGCCAGCAGCCCATTATGGAATCCAGGATTGCCCACATGGGTCTGGCTGTGGGTGTGTTGGGCTCTCCGCCTAGTTTGTTTGCATTTCAAATTTGGCGTGCTGCATAATTTACAATTTGGATCCATCAGCGGAGGGCCAACAGCACAGCTGCATACATATTTAGCCATCGCCTAGTATTTTCGTTGGCCAAAACCAACTGCCAACTGATATGCCAGCTGAAAGCTGCAAATGCACAGTGCCAAAAGAGGGAGATGAATAGGATTGTTAATATTTAATATTTGCCTAATTTAAAAATGTTGCAGAATAAATAATATATTCAAACTATGGCTATATTTTTGAAATATTTACAAACTATATAAGCATTTATATATTTCGAGCAGTGCAGCCACTTTACTCCCACTCGAATGGCTGCATTTTTCATGTTTAATTTCAGTTAGTGCCGCCTGCCGCCTGCCTGCCAGCTGAAAACTCGAAACCTTTTGGCGCCCGTCCAGAGCGAGTGAGTGTTTTTGTTTGGCAATTGTTTGGAGTGTGTGTTGGGCAACAAAACCGCTACACACGGACCTCTATTTGCCATGGTCGTGTCAGCTTGACGCTTGTGTCAATTGGCCCGAAACTGTGCTCTGTACTCGGCCATTTCGAATGCCGTTGGTGATTCTTGGCAGCAGTAACTGGCTAAGCTGCACGGAGATACCTATGTATACTTGTATAATGGAAACTCCTCTAATTGGCCCCCAACTTTGGGACGTCAGAGCTCTTTACCTGCTCTTATATCTGGCCTCCTTCAATCTCCTAATGAGTGCCAAACATTTAACATATCGTAAAAGTTTCGGGCGATAAAGAGTTTAAAAACTTTTAAGCCACTGGCATATGAATATTATTTTCTGCAGGTTTTCCCAGCGGACCAGACACATGCCACAACATATCTCACAGCCCCTGAAGACAAAAACTAAGTCTGAAGTCCCGGCAAGTGGCATTTCCCCCACCAGCCAGCCCCCCACGCCCCCAGACAATATAAATAAGCAAGCATGAGTTGCCTTTAAGTGAAATTCAATAACGCATAAAATTCCAAGGCACAAAGACCTCGGATATTCGTGGCAGAAAGGGGCTTTTTGGGTGATAGTTCGCCCAGGCTCTCCGTGCTAGTGCAGAGGAATTTTGCATATTACAAATCATTGTTTGGCTCAAGTGCATGCACGCAGAAAAACCTGAGCAAACTCGAACTGAAACTTACTTAAAATTTAAGTAAATATCTGACTATTATGAACCGAACTGGATTCCCGTTAAAGACCATTAATCTATGAAGTTAAATTGCTAAGCAGAACTTTCTTAACGGTTACTCTCAGTGTAGACTTCCCTCATAAGTTGGCTACAAAATTGTTGAGTAAGCGCATTGGAAGCCTTATAAATTTTTGAGTAGCTAGGACTGACATTGCTAACTCGGTTATGAATTCCCATTTACTTTTGCATTAAATCCTGGCCAAATATGCAAAACACATTCGCCAGGCGGAAAATTAAAGGCGGGAAACCGAAAGGAAAATGGAAACTTCACCCTCGATAAGTCAACAAGTCGTCGCTGTTTTTTGCTAAGACAAATTAAATTTATAAACAAATGGCGCACAGCAAACAGAACTTGTTCTGGCGAAAAAGTTAAGCATCGTGCATTTGCGAAAGCCCCGGGGTTCCGTAGCCAACCACAGGATCTGAAGGACGACCTCGAACAGGAGCAACAAGCAAATGCCAGTTATTATTCCTGCTCCGCCGAAGTACTGCCGCTTTTTCCATGTTTGGGGTTTTTTCGCATTAACCGAAAACTGTTCCAGGGGGCGGAGCGAAGAGTGGGCGGTGCGGTGCGCCTTTAAAAATGTTTCACTTAAGCAGGGAAGCTGCTCTCGAGCCCCAATAAAAACAAAATGTGTACACGACAAACAAACATAAAGTTAGGAGCTCGTTAAATTACGCCAAGGGGTAAAAATATGCGAACATGCTTTCACTTTTACAGCTGCCATCCGTATCTGTGTGTATCTGAATAATGTGAGTTGTCAAGAGAGATATATCCCCCGAGCGGGGGGGCTTCCAATATCCTTCCTAGTTCCGCCCGTTCATTTCGAGATAGGTTAAGTGCGCCGCCAGCTATTCCCAAACATATATTTTATAATCCCGGCTGAAGTCGGCCCTGAGCACGTGATGCCATAAAGTCAGTAGAACGCAGGGCGACTTAGCATAAGCCTGGCTTGCGGCATTTCCCAGTTACCAAATACCAGTCTCCAGTTTACAGTCGGCGAATATTCCCGCCACCTTTGGTCTCTACATCTTGGGCTTATATCTATATATATATATTGGTAAAGGGTCTGCCAAGTTGCCGATTCATTGGAGCGCAAATTTTTAAGGAAAGCGCAGGAGGCGTTCGGGTGCGAAAGGCGCGAAAATCTGATTTGAGAACGGACCAAGCCGCAAAAACCAAAGCCAAAGTAAGATATGTTGTACATGTGCGGAAAACGAAGGAAAACTCAAACAGATTCATATAAACTTCGACCTTTAACCTTTTCGATTCCCTGTTGCGTAAAAATGTTTAAATTTTTAAGTAACTTCAAGCTCACTTCATGCCGCAATAAATTGAAGTTAAGAACGAAATAAATGTATTAACCATTTGATTAGGATGACAACATTTCAGTAATGAAAGAAAGCAAATAAAACTCATTCGAATAACTTGATAAACTTATGTTCTTTAAAGCTGCCTTCGAAAAAGGAGCAACTGCAATCAATATGGGAACTCATAATGATTGATTGGCCGGCCAAGTTCGGCGAGGCCAACTGCATTCTATAAATAAGCTGAACGGACGGAAAGGAAGCGATTGCAACTCGAACATTGGTATTAATCGTTTGCCGCAAAAGAAAGTTTATCAATTCCGGCGGAGAGCGGAAAAAGCGCGCATGCCGAGCGCGATATTAAAAAGTGCCCCAATTCGTTTATGTGTACATATTTTTTTCGGCAGGACATCAATAACCGATGAGCTGCCATAAATCCAGGGGCATTCATTTCATGAGCGTCCTGTGGTAACACGGTAACTATGGCGATTTCAGCAACCCTTATGGCCCCCGACTCACAACCTGGTCACGCAATCAGAAAGCGGCAGAAGTTGTCAAGGAACCACTTTAATTTCCTTGATATATGCCCCATCCGATAGGCTCCACCTGACAATGCTAGCATATCTATTATTAAGATCTGGCATCTGGAAAAGCCGTTCGCAATGAGCAGAAACACATGCTGATGGCCACAGAAAGGAGCAGATTCTAGGCCCAAGTCGGGGTCATTAACATAAACAACTCTGCAGGCGTTGGAGGCCCACAAACTCGCAAGTGTGTTACCCGAAAAAGGCCACTGCCGGCAGAGCCTCTCCAAAACAAGGAACCCGTGTCTAAAAAGATGCATAAATCATGGAGACCTGACTGGAACCGAAATAGAAACCGAAAAAACGAAGAACGAAAAACAGGGGATCACGATGTCAGCAAATGGCAAAACTGTCATTTTCTAAAGAATTTAATTGACAGTGCAAAGTCATAAATTATATGGCATATCAAAGATGGGCCAACAGGAAGCGTATCCTGCGGCATTAGGGCTAATTGTGGGGATGCCCCGTGCCTCGTGCCGTGTGCCTCGTGCCGTGTGCCTCGTGCCACTTGGCAAAACAAAGAAGTCAGGTCTAACACGTGTGTGTCCGGGCGTGCGTGAAAGCAAAAACATTCCTATTTGGTTTGCTAATAAATTAATGATATACTCGTAGCAAGGCGGGGCGGCGCCCTCCGAAAATCTCGGCAAGAAAAGAGGACGATTCTGTGACAAACACTTTGGCGACACTCGCACGCGAGGCAATTTATAGCCCAGAAGGACATTAATGGAAGGACCAGCAGCCGTGTGACGAATTCAGGATGTGTGTGCGAGGACGAGGCGTCACTGGGACTGGCCCAAATAAAGCACCCGGCCAAATCATTTGTCTTTCGGCCATTGTGGAAGTGCTTAGCCAACACTGGCAGCTGTAAACACTTCACTGGATCAGGGGACTAAGCTGGCGAAAACCTTGAAGCCGTTATTGGCAAATCTTTAATGTGGAACAGGAAGGACAGCCTTTGATGACTGGCCATTTGAGAAACCCCTTCTAGGATAGGAACTGAACATTTCTTTTGAGCTTTTGACTATTTAAGGAAATTAAGAAAAACTATCGAAAAAAACATAATTAAAATTATTTGTACATTTTCTGATATGATTTTTCCACAAACTACACTTTGACAACACTGTCTAAATTGAAATTAAATTTTCTATAGCACCCCTTCGCGTCTTTTTATCATTTTGCTTGCACCAAATTGAATCCGAAATGGCAAATCATAAGGGTGTGGTCACCCAGCGCACCTGGCGCCGCATCCTGGAGCACCTAGCCCCAAATAAAGGGTTCAAAGATATCCAGAGGGAAATCAGCTGGTACCGCGGACTATCCCAATCCCAGATGGCGGCAGCTCACAGCTTATCGGATATCTTAAGGGACAACTTGGATAAGAATTTGGCCCCCCAGGTCGCGAAGATATTGAGGAAATTGGGATTACATCCCGCCCCGTCGTTGGAAACGCTTAACCTGGTGATCAAGCTGAGCCGGGGCAATGATCTGGCCTTCCTCTGGTTCCTCATGGAAATGTGCTACAAGACACCGAACCACGGAGTGATCTATAGTGTCAACGAACAGATCATCTTGTCGGTAATCTTTCGCTTGGATTTGTTTCCCACTCTGAGGGAACTGGATCGCTGGCTTCCGTTGCCACATTCCTCTCAATCGGATAGAGACAAGGCCGAGGCCTTAAGGCAAAGAAACCAAAGATTGAAGAGCGAAAGGGAGGAGGAACGCCAGAAAGAGTTGGCCAGGAAGGCAAAGATCACAACACCTCTGACTCCTTACTTTCAAGAACCGAAGATTGGCGGGCAACTGCGAAACGAACGTAGATTGCTGTCCGATTATCCCGATACTCCAGCCTCCCTTCTCGAAATGGATGAGGAACCCCTCGAGTCCTATCTTTGGACCCGCTGGTTTGGCTCCTACAGCTTGAACGAGGCCAATCGAGTGGGTAAGTCCATAGTCTTCCAGGAGATCAACAGCATCTTCGAGTCCTTTAAGGCGGCCTCACTGCCACCCCGCGATGTGGAGTTCCTGTGTGCCCATCATCAGTACATCCGGGAGATGGAAAACTCCCTGAAAGTCCAGCTGAAAATGGTAAAGAAAAGGAAGTGCGAAGAGCTCATATTTGCCAAAAATCGGTTGGAGGAAAGGAGGCGAAAGCGCGTGATTCAGGAGCTCGAAGAAATGAGCGCCTGTTATCTGAAGCGGTTCCAGGACATGGCTGCCAGGGCCAGATTGGCCTCCACCAGGAAGCAACTCTTTGGAGGCAGTTCCGCTAGGTCATTTACCTTTGGTTGCCCGGAAAACGAAACTAAATGCGATGATTTCGAGAAAGAAAGGTGCCAGACCTTCGAGGAAGGAAGGTGCCAGACCTTCGAGGCAGACAGGCCACCAGAGGAGCCTATCATAAAGATACATGGAGGCAGGAGTAGATCCAGAAGCAGCATAAGGTTAACCGGTGGAGCAGAGTCTAGAACCAAATCTAAAGGGAGGTCTAGATCCAGGTCTTCTAGCAGGTCCAGAAAACGTAAAAGGCAACCTACCAAAGAACCCGTTCTAATGAAGGAGGAACCCATACCCACACCCACTCCCATACCCATACCACCACAACGAAAAGTAAAGAGCGAATTCCAGGACATAATGGTCAGGTTATTAAAGGGGAATATACCCATCTTACAAGGCTGTCCTGACTTTAAGCCAGAACCAGTAAGCTGCGCCAAGTGCCACATCTACAATCCCCAAGAGGGATTACCCCAGAAGCGAACTCAAAAGCATCGTCCCAGCAGCCTGATGCAGTTTCTCGAATTATGCAGCAATAAGGGGGATGAGAAGGAGGAGTTGGATCCCGACGAGGATTCAAGTCCTTCTTCTCATCCCGAACCCAAGAAGAGTGTTCAGATCGTGGAGTTGGGATTTCCGGGAAGCAATCACGTGAAGTTTAACTATCGTGAGTTGTTTGGCTCGCTGCATAGGACTCATTTGGACGACGAAAAGGTGCGTCTGAAGGAGGCCTTTGTGCGGGCCATCGACGACGATGTCCAGTACCTCAGCGCTGCCTTAAATGGGGAGGAAGAGGGTTCCCTAGATGCACTGGTGGACAGAGCAGCAAAGCGGGTATTTGCCGAGGATGTGAAGACCTTTCACAAGGAGCTGGAAAAGTTACGGCGGAAAAGAGATGAAGAGGTGTTAGAGAAAAAAGAGTATCGTTTGAATTTCGGTCAGGAGTTCTACGATCCTGAAAATATTCCTCTAATGAAGGAGATGCTCAGGCTGGGTCTGGAAAAGGTGGCCCAGGACAAGAGGTACGTGTTGCCCACCCTGCCCGATGTCCATTGTGTACCCTACCTCATCGAATGGATACGTTTGCGTTACGGGAAACGCTACTCCTTTAAGGAAAAGGAGAGGATTTTGGCCAAGGATAAGAAAGTCATGGAACACTTAGGGTGGGTGATGCGGACGAAGCTGGTGAATATACCATCTCTTAGCATTGGAGACAACTTGAATGACATCACCAAGCTGAGGCAGTTGGGCAAAAAACACAGGCACCGCCATACCAACAGATTCCACGAAGCCATCATGGAGGTGGAAAGGGTCTTCTACTCGGCCATGAAACCCCATCTCTGCAACCTGCCGACAGAGTCCACCTTCCTAGCCTACTTGCCCGCCCAATTCCACGACCTGGGCTTCACTGTCCATAACGAGAGCGGGGTAAAGGGAGTTTGCTATTAACCGGCCACTTGTGAAATAAAGACGCTTTTCCCGGAAGCAATGTAGTTTCACTTAGTTCCAGTTGGGTAATTGCTTGTCCTACGCAATTCATCGCATTTGATTGCTAGAATCTCTTATTCACAGAACAGTTTCAAATCAGAAGAGGGCTGTAATTAGAAAATGCAAAGATGACATTGTAAATTTGCAAGTTTTTCTTGAGAATGCTTTAAGTTACTTAATCGTACACGTGTAACGAACATCCCACATACTCATAAGGGTTGTGACTGCCGTTGCGTTCATGTACAGTGTACACCTGTTATGCATCGACGCATTTCCGGTTCCGCTGATGGCCATGCATTTGGCCAAGTCCTTTCCCCGAGGGACTTGGAAATGGGCTGTTCAGAGCCCACATGCCCGTAAAGGTTTGTGGGTGAATTATTAAATCCGCCTTCTGCCCTTTGGCCAACTGACGAAGGCATCCCGGCGAGGAACTCATGCTGCGAGCCTCCGTGTGCGAGGAAGCGAATGGCGTTATCCGCTTGGAAAACGGCGTAAAGTCAGCTTATTAAAATATTAATTGAAAGTGGAAGCGCCGATAACTGACCGACAACAATGGCGGCAGCCCGTCCATTTCCATGCCATTTCCATCTCAATTTCGCGTCCGCCTCAATGTTTCCATGTGCCGAAATGTAAACACGGCGGAGCTTTATCGCCCTCATAATTACGACGTAATGAAAGCAACAGACACGGCCAAATAAACATCCATTAGCATCCTTAGCTCCTCAGTTCCTTGGCTCACCTGGGCAGCCATACGAGATCAAAAACACACAGGATGTGGGCGCCCTCGTAAATGCGGGTGAACCATAAAGCTACAGATACAAAAATATCCGAAAAAAGCGTTAGAGTGCCCACAATTTACGTTGGCAACTCGGCAATACGCTTAGGTAGATCTCACAGATGGTGGCCAACATTATTAAACCAATTTTGGAAGATTTTTAGATCTCAGAAAAATAAATAAGGAAGTTCTGAGGAATGTTATTTCTGACCAAGAAATAAAATGTAAAGATAATTCATCATGAACCATGTGGGCTAGCACACCCTTCCACAAACTGCCAGTTCCACCCTACCTCTAGATTGCGCATACGCCCAGTTAGCCATAGGCCTCCCACACAAGGCCACATCCAGCAAAAGCCCCTCAATTTCGCCAGCGGAAGATGCTGCATTCATTGTTTTACGAGCCATAAACATTAACAATTAGGCCGGGTACCCGAGCCGTTATGATTTTTACGGCTTGGCTTAATTAGAAAAACACATTAGCAGAGCTCCTAGACAGCTCGTCTGTTTTTCTTTTGCTTTTATTCAGTTGCAGTGTTCCTGGACGTCGGTTTTGAAGGCGCAGAATATGTAGTACCCAAAACCGGCTCCCAGCAAAACTGCCACGCAGAGCCAAACATTGAAGGTCATGAAAACGAGCATCAGCAGGAAGGATATGAACACCTGCAGGACATGCAAGAGGGTCTGCAGGAGATGCATCCGGGAGCACCAGGCCTTCAGCCTAGGGCTTCCTACAGCGGACGGGTCGTTCTGTTGGATATGATGATGATGATGATGCGGTGGGTTGAGCATCAGCGAGGATTGGTCGGGCGAAGGAGCATGAGCTGCAGGCGGCAGCTGCGAAACCGATGCCGACCTCGGGCGGTAGGCGTAGATCTGGGTTCCAGTATGCTGGTTTGTCCTCGACGGATATGTGGGCTGGTTATAGTTGTAGTTGGCCTCTCTGTATCTTCTTGGCGGGTTGTAGTGTTCCGTTCCGCCCGCCAATCTCCTTTTCCGGTTCCTCGCATACAGCCACTCTCTGAAGAACTTCAGACCTTCATAGAGAACAGCCATCAGAAAAATCAAGAGACAGGATAAGGTCAGTGCCAAGGCGGACTCAGTGCGCCAAAACTTGAAGAGAATGGTCTCCGTATCGCCGGTATGAAAGAACATGGCCATGACCATTTCGTGTCCTTCTCCAACGTGGTTCCCGTGCTTCGTTTCTCCATGACCACCATGGTCTCCTTGATGCGACATAGCAGGCGAATGGTGTCCTTCGTGAGCGGTACTCGATGGACCGGATGCTGTGGGTAAACCGTGATGGTGGACGTGAACCGCTGGTGCATCAGCTCCATGGTGATTCATGGTCAGACATCGGTGAAAACTATGTGAGTTGTTGAACTGTGTAAACTCGATCGGCAATTAAGTGACAGCTTTCACTGGATGCGAGCATTAACACGCTCTGAGTAACCGTTCAGGAGAATTTTTCGAAATAATTCTGTCAACAAGATGCTCTGAGCTTCCTTTACTTTACTTTCTGGATAAACTTTAGAGAATATGTATTGCTTAACTGAACTAATTTAGTTTTATCGTATTATATCTCATTAAAATGGGATTAATTAAAGAGGAAAGGCAAAGAGAATGTTATGCCTAAAACTATTTTTACCAAAAATTCTATAAATTTAATTATTATTTATAGCCCAGCACATTGTTTGCTTATAATTAGTAACCCAAATAACGGTTTTGTATTTCGTTAATTGAGCTGAGTGGAAAACAAATGCAGGAATTTCCATTGGAAAATGTAGAGCATTTAACATAAAACCGAGCGAAGAGAAAGTCTGCCCGCTCCACAGATTTTCTATACACGTCCATTAATAGAGCCAGGCTCCGACCGCAGCCCAATGCCAATTCGGTTGTATCATTAACATAAATGACAGGCGGGCAGAACATGCCACGTGCCACGCGCCATGAAATCAATGCAGTTCCCGTCCAGTTTTCGTTGTTCTCTGCCCGGGACAAGCGAGCAAATTTTCTGGCACTAATGGAATCCATTTTTCAACCGGCGCTCGGATGAGACGAGCTGCACCAAAATCCTCCGGCCCAACCATGCATATTAATAAAGATTTAAGCGTCAGCAGGCGGCAAAATTAAGATCGTACACTGGGAGCTCGGCTCGAGTACTTCGAATTGCTCACGAGTTGGCCATTAGATGGTGTAACACCGAATATTAATCATACGCCGCGTTAATTTATGGCCCAGTCGCTGATTGCCGAAACAGGATTTTTTAGCCAGACGTGCTGCAATCTTTGGTGCCTTTGCTGCCTCTGCCGCCTTTTCTGGGAGTGTACGTGGCGGTGAAAGGAATCCGTAGCGATTTTCCTGTTACTGCTAAAATGAAGCCACTAGCTGTCGCTGGGAACGCCTCGCTGACCGCCCATTAATGCGGCTCCTTTGTGCAGGAGCACATTAATCATTGCGAATGCTGCAGCAGCCATCGCAGCATGGCTCCAGTGTAATTTTTTCGGGGCGCCTTTTCCATTCTTCTCTTTTATTTCTGTTTTGTTTTTTGGCCCGCAAAAACAAAGAAAGCTCGAAGCCCGGCAACAAAGTGAGTCCTGCATTAAATGCTTTGCTTTTCTATGGCTGCTCGAGCACTTCCGTTTTCGGCCAGCCTCACAGACCTTAATTGTCGAGTCGGAAGAAAAGCATTATGAAAGCAGGCTTACCAGCAAACCAAATACCCTTCTAAAATTGGACAGACAACTGAAAATATAACCTACTACAAACTTCATGCCTTTAAAACTGCTTATCTGTCTTTTTAATCCTAGGACATGAGAAACTAAAATCGAATTTTGAGAATCCCCTCACGTTATCCAGTTTGGAGGAAAGCCTGTCAGCTACCCTTTACTTAAGCTGCAGTGTCCATTGTTTGCAGTCCTTGGCTCTTTGGGAATGTAATTCCTTTTGATGCCCGACACGGCTTAAAGCTCCTTGAGGTCCTGGCACCCGGCTCTCGGCTCTTCCGTTCTTTATCAATTGTCTTGTAGAGCAAAGCGTTAATCATGCGGCATTTAACGAGACTAAAGCCGACTGTTCCCACGAGACTGAGATTTCAATGGTCAAAGTTTTGCTGCCCGTCCTCTACTTTCGATAAAGCGACAGCCATGAATTCCGAGAAAGAATGAAAAATGTTCGCCCAGTGAAATGTGTGTGTGTGAGTGCGTGTGGGTGTTGGATGTTAGGAAACCCAAAAGAAAAGCGGAGCAGTCCCGACCCGCCAGGGCAGCCTTGCGTGTAATCGCGCTGCTAAGTCCATTTAATCAACTTAATTTTGTACAAATTCTCAGACATTCGGGCTCACTGTTCCCCGTGCCATTTTCCCATTTCATTCATTTCGGGCAAGTGACGCAAGCCCCGCAGGACGGCATTTAATAAAACATTTTCCACAATTATAACAATGCTGAGGAGTGGTGGAAGGGAACAGGGGGCAGAGGAGCGGATTCCAGATTCCTATCGCGCAACGTTGAAATGGAGTTGTTAGCGCTCGAAATAATTTACATAATTTGTTTTGAATACATCTTGACAAAAGCGAAGGTGTGCGTGTTGCATACTTTTGGGCTGCCCTCGGCTTACCCGGCGGATACGCAATATTTGGCTTAACAATGCTGGAAAGTCCTAATGAAGGAGCCCCAACACGTGTTTTTCAGATTATTGTCACAGAAGTATGAAAAGTAAATAACATTTGATTACACTTCATATTTCCGTTGCTCTGAGCCATTTAATACCCCCACAAAATATTAAGTTCCCATTTCGTGGAGATGCTGCTTTGATATTTATTAAATTTAACATCTAACATCCAGGGGCCGCCATCCCTCGAACCCTCGAAGCCTCGAAAGTCATTTGCTGAAACTGGAGCCCATTTCTTTTGGGCAAATACATTTGGAAATTTGTCGTATTACCTTGCAGCGCATTTGACATTTGGCTGCCGGGGGAGGGTCATCGATTTTCGATTGCGTTATCGAAACAAATCTAGCCACTTTGGCGGCCTTTTCACTGGCATCCCGAAACCGAGAAATTGGAGAGTGCCACTCACAGGAAATTGAGCTCAATTGGGGTTTTTTGTTACGTGACGCTGCCGTTTGGCTTGGCTTTTATTGTTTCTCAGGACCGTCCAGAAAAGGGTCCTGTCTGCTGATTTATGTGGCCAGTGCTTGTTAACACTTCACGGTTACGAGCTACGAGCTATGAGTCCGACAACTGCAGGCATTTTCATAAGCGATTTTTCTAAAAGGGCTCCGCTGGAAAAAGTTCCCAAGGACACCGGCCGACCCTCATGATGATTCGAGATGTTTCATAAACGTCGCATTAGTGTCACGTAACTACTAATAGAAAAAGTGCTCGTAAAACTGCAGACTTTACTGCTGGCAATACCATAAATTTTACGCTCCCCGGCTGCAGCACAATTTCACTGCACTCGTCAGCTCTTTTTTCATTTCGGGATTTTTCTGCGTGCCGAACGCAGCTATTTGAATACAGAAATCCGCTTAACTGAAAGGCAAAGCGCACCGAAAACACATATCCCCGTCCACATCCGAGGCGGAAGGAGTGGCCTTGTGCTCGGTGCGAGTCCCTTTTTTCGGCTGGCTCATAAAGTGGCATCCTAGCATGTAGTCGGTAGTGCGGAGAAGCGGGCGGAAAATCATCATTTATCAGCAGGCAGCCAGGAGCTCGAAATGCACGGAGAACAAAGAATGACCAAAATACTGTGAATAATTTTAATAATTTGAATGTTTTCCTGTTCTAAAATATATGTTCTCTTATCAACGAATTTATCATTTTGGAGAGTTAAATAATTATTAAAAAGAGATTCAGCTGAAAGTGGTCATTCTTTCTTCTAGTGGAATCACTAAAAACTTACCAAAATCCTGCCAAATTTTGTGGGCTGCTTTTTTGCGAGTGTGAAACTGATTCTGCTGCTGGCGCCGTCAGATCCGCCTCACTTTGTCATTGTCATACCCTTTTTCGAGCTTCTGTTTCCTGGAATCTCAACTGCTTAGGATCCCTCAGAGCGGCCGCCTTGTTTATGGCTCGCAAAAAAGTGAAACTGGGGAATGTGCAGATATTTGCATACAGCATCGCACATTTCGAGGGCTTCCGCCGCAGATGTTTGTTAGTTTGTTAGTGTTTGCCTTTTGGTAGGAACACCATGTTGGCATCGCTTTCGCCTTCCTTTTTCGCTTTTCACTTCCGTTTCCGTGCATTTTGCACGTTTGCCCAACTTGTCATTCGCAATGAGCTGAATGCACTCGATGGGCGACTGGCTTGCAGCTGCTTTTCTATGTTTTTAGCCCGCCAGTCTGTTAAATTGCGCATTGAGTTGACATTCAGCTGCACAAAATGCCAGCAGCTGCTGCGTTTCGCATTTGTTGGATTTGAATTCTGTTCTGATTTTTTAGCTGCTTGTATATGAGCTCTGGAAAGTTAAACCTGTCGCCTTTCACGGAACTTATTTGAGCAGCTAAAAGAAATTGCAAGAAAAATGTCTAGTAACGCTAACTTACTTGTCCAAATGTCTGAAAGTAATAGTGTTGAAGATGCTCAAGACGCGTTTAACAGTACTTTATCCATTGCATACTTTTAGGCACCTTATAAAATGATTTCAGGCCAGTATACCTTAACAAGAGAACAGTAAACCCATTCCGAAATCGTAAATGAAACTCAAAGAGAGGGGATATTACATTGATACGGTTTGCCTTTTATTTGATGCCTTAATTTCCGCATGTTTTTTTGTTGGGAAAACAGTTTTCAAATGCAGTTTGCAGTTTTGTAAGCTTCACTCGGAAAGTGTTTTAGTTCTTATTTGTTTGTTATTCTCAATTACTTGCTTTTTGTTTTTAATTATAATATTTGATGTTTGTTTTTGTAATGAACTTTAGTTCGGTTTGCGTATAATTAGCTGCGCTTAGTTTGTCATGCTCGTTTGCCGTTGTTTGTTTTTCTTTTCCTTTTCCATTATCCGTTTGCCGTTTTACATTTTCCATTTTCAATTTCACTTAATTTGATGGGTGTGTGGGGGTGTAGGCGTGTATGGGTTATGTAAATAGTTGATAGTTTATCTCATCAAGTTACGAATAGCTCAGTTTCCATCGTTTTTGTCGGTTGCTTTGTGGCGAATATCATAATGCACTTCTCGCAGTGCTACATACATATACAATAAAAACATGCACACTTAGTTGACTATATCTATATGTATAGGTATGTGTGTATTACGTTTGATGCAGCTTCGATCTAAACATAAAAGTAATGCTTAATGTTTGGTATCACAGAGAGGCGTGACTTTTCATACAAAATACAACGAAAGACTAATGCAGAAAGTTACAAAATACAATTTAGTTCTTCTCACTTGAGCTGCAGCTTGAGCCGCACAGTGTACACATATATATATAGGCTACTTTATCTATATATTTATATATTAATATATATATATAGCTTATAGACAGAGCCGCAGGTGGCTGGGTATTTACAGTGGATAGCTTCTTGCACAAACATAAATATATCTAGGTTAATCAGTAGGCTTAATTTGGCTGCAGTCCGCAGTTCGTAAATTTAATTTTTGGCTCAGTTTGAGTATCGCAAATCAACTAACTACGCTGGCAAATCTTGGGATGGGACTTGTGGGCTTTTCTAGGGGAGCTAGGGTGGGTTCGTGGGCTCGGGGAGGTATCAATAGATTCGATAACGATTGTGTCTCATATCCGGTGCTGATTGTTTTCGAAACATAAAAGGAACCGTAGAAACCTGTCACAGTTACAACCGTGTATGTGTGTGTGTGTGTTTGGTTTGTGAGTGTGTTTGTATATGTGTATGTGTGGTATGGACCACGTCGATTGCTTAGTTCTACATTTAAAATTACAACAACAAGTTACATTTAGAGGAGTCGTCTACGATTCGCACTTTAATGCGAGCTTCAGGGGCGGTGCACATATACAGAGATACGCACTACTAACACTACTACATACAAATATCCATGTGTGTGTGTACTGGGCTGACAAATTATGGTGGGAAGTAGTTCCTTTTACGTTCTTCTTTTTGACCAGCTAAAGCAAAGACATCTTCTCATGATTCTGTAAGTCAAATACTAACTAGGAGTCTGCACTCTGAAACTTATTTAACAGATCGTTCTGGCTAACAATTTAAACAACTGTTCTGGAACTTTTATACAGAAAAGTGAAAGTTGAAAGCGTCAAGGAACTACTCCTCCACCATAGAACATTGTATTTTCTAGTTTAGTTGGATCTCCATCCCAGTGTGTATACTTAAGAGTGTGAGTGTGTCGAGCAGAGGAATCGCCTTCTTCCGGAAACCTAGGAAGATCCTTCCAACATATTCGGCTCAGATCCGCTTGGCTGTGCCCTTATCCTGGTTGATGTCCCTGGGGAAGGCCTAGAGGAAGCTCTCCCTGGCTCCATGCCTCTCATCGCCCAGCATCACCCGCTGCGAAGGAGGCTCTCCGTACTGATCCTGGTAATAGTTCTCCCGCATCATGGTGTTCAGGCTGGAGCAGCGGAAGTAGAGGATCTCCTGGAAGGGCTTGCGGAAATCCCTATTCAGGGTGGCGTAGATAATGGGGTTCAGCAGGGAGTTGGCATAGCCCAGCCAGAGGAACAAGGACGAGAGCGACGCCGGGACATGCATCGTCTCGAAAGGACGAATGAGAGCCAGGATGAAGAAGGGCAGCCAACAGACGGTAAAGGCGGACATGATGATGCCCAGGGTGGTGGAGGCCTTCTTTTCCTTGGCCAGTTGAAACCGCAGCTTCTTGTGGTGCGGAGAGCCCAGGAGTCCTGTGGAGCCACTCACGCCACCACCACTACCATGTCCGGCAAGGGCTCCCCCTCCGCTGCTTAAGCCGCCACAGGTGGAGTAGGTGAGCGAGGTGTTTCCTACGCTACTGTGCCTCTGCCCATTCCCGGAGCTGGCCAACTCTGTGTGGCCCAGAGTGGGAGCCTGCGGAGCAGTGGGCGACCCTGTGCCATTGAGAGCCTGCTGCAGATGCGTCTGTGCCCGTTTCTCCTCCAGGACAATCCGTCTCGCCGCCCTGAAGATCTGGTAGTACACAAACAGCATCACCGAGAGCGGTATGTAGAACGATCCCAAGGTGGCATAGATCTGATATGCGAAGTTCTGACACACCGTGCAGATGGGCTGGCCCTCCTCGTCCTCGTGCTCGTTCCCCAGGATCAGCAGAGGAGGCAGTGAAATGCAGGCGGCTGCCAGCCAAACAATGCCAACGCACAGCATCATTCGCCGGGGAGTCCTCTTGACCCCGTACTCCAGGGGTTTCGTGATGGCCAGATATCGATCAACGGATATGGCACACAGGTTTAGGATCGACGCTGTGCAGCAGAGCACGTCGAAGGACACCCAGATGTCGCAGAGCAGCGGGCCGAAGTTCCACTTCTCTAGCACTTCATAGAGCAGGGCCATGGGCATCACCAACAGAGCCACGCAGAGATCCGAGAGGGCCAGTGAGACCAGAAGGTAGTTGCAGGGCCTCCTCAGTTTCCGAACCATGCAAACGGCTATGCAGACCAGGACATTGCCCACCACAGTGCCCAGGATCACAATCAGCAGGACAATGCTGACGAATATGGATGTTAGGGGTGGTAAAACGAACTCCCCGGCGGCAAACTCCTCCAGGAGCAAGGGAGTATCCGACAATGGTATCAAGGTGGTGTTGCTGTCCCCTAAGTAGCTGCTGGTGATTCCTTGATACGAGACTATGGCAATGGGACTGCTGTTCATCGAGGAGAGTCCAAGGGATCCGGATCCGGATCCCGAGGACGAGGCCGAGGCCGAGGCTATGGCCCCCAGGAAGGCGCTGCTGCTGTTGAAGTCCTGCGAGGAGGACGACTCCGTCTCGCCTTCCACGAGCGGAGCAGAAACGGTGGCCTTGCCCGCCGCATAGGCTATCCAGCTGCTCAGGAAGAGCACGAACAGAGTCAGCGTGGCGGTGGAGATCAGTTTCTGGTGGTTTCCGTGGTTTCTGCGGTGGCGGTGGCTCTGATGGCGCCGCCAATCCTGTCCAGCCAAAGCCATCAGTCTTTCAATAGTGGCAGCGGGCTAACGCGGCGTATGAGTAACCCAGTGCTGACCTGCTGCCCAGCATTATCACCTCTTCGGGCTTCAGCATCATTGCGTATACGCCACCGTGCCGCACTTTACTTCGCCGCTCTTGTCATTAATCATAATTTCAATAAAAATAAGCCCTCTTATTAGTTTCGCCTCGGGCCGCGTCGCTTGATTACTAATTTATGTGGGGGCGTATGCTTAATAAAATCGCTGCCTGCGGCCGCCAGTTGATGTGGTCATTGACTTTTATGCCTTGTACTCCGGGTATCTCTTTCAATAAATCTCTGTGGCTTGCCGCTGTCGTTTTTGTGGACTGTATGATTGTCGCCAGGGCTGCTAACGAAAAGAACAAGAAAATGTGGAAAATTCATTACTCAGCTGTATTTATAAAGTGAAAATGTCGGTGTCTTAAAGTCTGAATTTAAATTCGCATAAAACTCGGGGGCCTGAGGCCGTCTTCTCTCCTACGCTTTCCCATTTTACTTCATCGTTTTTCCAAGCACACAAAGACCTCAATACACGCACATGTCGCCCTAATGATGGTCACAGTTGTTACAATTTCCAGAGAAATTTTTAAACAATGAAACAATGCTGGGAAAAAGGAAAATACAAGAGAAACAACCGCGAACGTTTTCATGGCCCGGCGGCCATCGGCAGATGGTTTGTGTACTCGCTAAGAATTTTCCCCATTTTCCCAGCCATGCGGTGAATCATCAGAGCCGTCCCTTTGTATTAATTTTCATACTTCTTTTGATTATTGAGTTGTTGGCCCACCGCCTGGCCCAAACCGCAGGCCACGCCCACCGCCTCCGCCACCGCCACCGCCACCGCCCACAAGCACTTGACGCTCTTCGAAATGCGAAACAAATAAACAAAGGGCAGCTAAAAGGCGGTGGCGCCTCCGCCATTGTTGCGGCCATTTTCGCTGGCAGCTTCCGTTTGGCATTTTTATTTATTTCGCCTTTTTCCCCCGGCTTCCTGCCTTTGTGGTCAGCCGCCGAGGAGAAGGAAGAGGTCGAGGAACCGCGCACAGAAATACAATTTATACATTTCTCCCTAATTGAATTCCATTGCGAGCTGTTTCGAGGTGTCGTCGAACTCCTCGCCATCGAAAAGCCGCTTTAAAGACGCCATTTGCGAGCACCGCTCTCATGTGTCTCACTGCACGATTTATTGAAGGAGGCCAAGTGGCAATTGAGCCTCGAAAATCAAGGAAATCGGATGGGGGCAAAGGCGTCTAGACGGCCAGACGATGCCACACCTGTGCGACAGGTGTGAGCCCTGCGAACACTTAAAAATCAAGAGAAACATGAAACAACGGGGAGTGCTAACATTAACCCGCAGCCCAGCATCATTATTAAACTATTCTCTCAGGACAGAGTCCTGTGGGAGGAGAAGGCCATGGAAACTGGGACAGAATAACAAATAGTTTAGTAGTTTCTATTTTAAATATACCGAAGCTTGCAGTTCTCTTGTTTAAAGCTTTCTTTAAAGAGAACTCTTTTGATCTCTTTTAAATTAACCAGCTAATTTCCAGCCAATGTTGACAACTTTCAGCCGCAAACATTCCAACTGGCACTAAATTCTAAATAAAACGAACAGCAAAGAGGCATGTGTGGGAAAATTGGCCAACCAATCGGCCGGGTATAATAATAAATAGCAATGCCAAAACATTGCGTTTCAGTTTTTGGAAAATTCAACTCTGGTGGAAATTGTGGGGCAACTGGAATTTGGGAGTGCGCACGAGTTGGTTCCGTGATTGCGATGCTGCCTGTTTGTGCGGATGCACTCGAATTTATTTGTTTTGGGAGGATGGCTGCGCTCGAGCGACTTTCGGTGTTAATTATGCTAATCAAGGGGACAAGATGGCCCCAATTATTTGGTCAGCACACAGCGAGTCGTAAGCCGCTTTAAGCTTTCGCCGGCCGGAGCTGCGACTCCTGTCCGGATGAATTCTCCTGGCAACAGGACATAAATAATGTAATTTAATTATGAATCGTTCGGGGGCACGACGGTGGGCGATTTGGCAGCTAAGGCTTAGGGAGGGCTCTTCTGGGCTGGCAGTGGCCTTATTTGTATTATTGCCAAAGCCGACAGGGGCGTAAATATTCATAGGTTTTAATATTTATGTCCTTCGTCCTGCATGAGCAACTTTCCCTCGTCTTTAGCCGCCTTTCGCCCTTTGGCCCCCATATTTGGCATTCCTCCTCCGAGCTCAGAACTTTTCAAATATTTGGCAGTTTCTCTGGCTTCCGCGGCAGCGTCTTGAGGTTTGCCGCAGTCGCTCGACTTTGCTGACAGGCCCTCTTCACCAGCTAAATCTGAGATTCTGAGTTCCATTTTGGGGGGAAACACAGTTGCTAAACAAGTGTAATTTTAGTTGGCCAACTGCTTCTTCGACATCACTTCCACTTTGTTGGAAAACAGAAAATAGTTTACTGCGGAGATTTCCATTTAGATTTATGCCACCCCTTCTGGCTTATTAAGTGCTGTGCGGGATTTACTGGCTCGCCTTTCAGTTAACACAAAATATATTTTATGGCCGCGCTGACGCTTGCAAATCCTTAAGTTTCCACTGCCCCCAAATAAGCTCATCCAGGGGAAAAGATAAAAGCTGGATGCGCATAAAGTGCTTTTTAAAATCAGCGAGCGTAAACTTAATTTTTGCAGATATCGCAAGCAATTGTTTCAAGCAGCCCGCTCGAGTATCCCCACAGCAGCCACTCGAAGGCTGGAGAACTCGAAAGGGAATGCGATGCAGTTGATGGTTGCAGTTTATGGTCTGTTGCCCCGTTGGCCCGTTTCTCCGCTGACAGGCTGCCCCGCTCTCAGCCACCACCGCCCCCGCGTTTTTATAGGGTTTGGCTTGGCGCCGGCACTCTAACGCATTAAGCTTTTCTTTTCGCTTTTTTACCGCACACAGACAGCATTTTTAAAGCCGAGCAGATTTGTGGCTGAGCAGCAAAAGTCACGAAGCAAGTGACTCACTGGTGAATTGAGACAGCCAAAAAGTGTAATAAATCCCCGAAAAAAGGAGGCAAACTCGGGAGATTAAAATCTGTGCAGCCCGGCAGGCGTATGCGCAATGCTCGCCCACTCATTTCAGTGAATAAAATGGAATAAACATGTTACTTTTGGAATTTTTCCTTTCATTAAAAATCCATGAAGTAAAAGTGCTACATGAATCGGAATGGGATTTTACCTACAAAACAGGGTATGTAACTTAAAGTGCGCAAAGCTTACTATTCTAAGAGTTTTTAAAACTTTGGAGATATAGGATTCGTTGCTCAGGTAAACTGATAAGCTGAATGTATAAAAAAGCCACAAAAATGTAAAAAATTAACTGCAAGATGGGAAACCTCAGGAGATTAAAATCTGTGCCGAATTCAAGGCAAATGCGTGAGGTTGCGTATGCGGCATGTTGGCCCACTTATTTCATATGCTTCGCCAGCGCTTTTCAATTACAAAGTCATAAAATTTGATTTCTCATGCCGGCTCCTCCACATTCAATTTCTGTCTCGTCTCTGCTTATTTATGGCCCACTCGCATGTGTTATCCTTGCAGCATTTTTGCCATTTCCAAGTGCCCGATGTAATTTCAACCTGACACATCACACGAGGGACACGTCTCGAGAGCTCACGAAATTGCTGTAAATGGATGCGAGTTAAAAAGCCAGCAATTTTAAATTGCCGCTGTCGACATTGGCGCCCCTTTTCGGGGCTCTTTGGCTGGCAGGCGAAAAGGGGGCCAAAAAGGGCCTTCCGAGGGGTGAATTCTTGCGCACTTGATGTTTATGTGTCAAGCTGCTGTTGGTTTACATTGCCTTACACTTTTTTGCTCCACGTTGGCATGGTTGTAAATAATGAATGCGTTGATTTCGAATCATATATTTATGCCGGCGCGCTTACACTGGGCAACAAAGTGCGGGAAGCAATCAGGATGGCAACTCTTTACTGTTTCAAGCCAGTCCAGACTTTGAAATATGTTTATATAGTAAGTTTTACTTAAGAGTATAATATTAATTTGTTAAAATATATTATGTATTTTTTGACAAACAGTTTTCACTGTGAAAAAATTAGACCTCCCTCGAAGTAGGGCAGTCTGCGAGCTTCAGACGAAAACCCTTCACTTTTACGTGTGGCTATCCTTTTAAATGGAATATCAAATATCGTGCATGGCCAACATTCAGTTCAGTCCCATTCCCCATTCCGAGTCAAGGTCACAGTCTAAGAATCACAAAAGTGAGTGGAAAATGTGAGCGGATCATTGTTTGCCATTAACTTTGTTTGGGAGTGTTGAGCAGCAGTTTGTGGAAAATGCCTGGCATATGTAGGCATTTCGGGATGTGTGTGTTTGTTTATTTGCGTGCATAATAAAATTTGTTCACAAAACATGTGTAGAAGCGGGAGAGAGAACAAAAACATTTGCTTATCTTTAGGAATTCGCATCCGTCTTGGTCCTGTTGGTTGCTTCTGGTCTGGCATTTTCACTGCTGTTTCATTTTTGATAATGTTTTTGCATTTAAAGTTTACGTGGGCGTATGAGTGATATGATTTGCATATGAGGGAGTGGTGTCTCGGGGTCCCTGGGTGCGTGTGTGATGTAATAAAGCATTGAATTTTACATAAATTGCGGGTACGGCCTGTCTCGTTCCGTCTTCCTTTCCGTTTCCTGTTGGAAAACAACGCCAAATACGCTTTGCTTCGCCATTTCCACACAGCCATTTGCATATTTGGGAGCTGCGCCTTATAGTCTTTTGTTATTTTCATTTGATTATTTATGGCGGCCATATGAAGGCCCCGAAAAAGAACATCGATGATTCCCGCCAAAGGAATTTATGCTCCCTACATAAATGCCCGTTTTGTCAAGTCAAACATTTGTTGTTGCCATTTTATAGCTCATTCTGTTGTTATTGTTGTTGTTGTCGGTTGTTTTTTCGCACAATTTATTGGTTTTAAAATTATTTCTCTGGCGCGCTGTGACATCATCATAAAAAATACCATTTCGCATTTATTTACGGAAATACTTTCTGTTAAAGTGTCGCTCCACCGCCTTTGTCCTTGCTCATTGTTCAGTGTCCATTGTCCTGCCGCCTTTTCTGCCGACCTGTGGGCTAGGCCTCACAGCTGCTAATTGTTGGCAAATTTCCAACTTGTTGGCCTTCTGTTGAAATCACGTACTAGTCGGGGGCTTCAATCAATGTAATGGCTCACCACCAGGCCAATCGCATTGCAATCGATTTGATTTTTCGCCCGGCTCAGAGAAGAACCCATTTAATCCCAGTTTCAGATACAAAGCAAAGGACATCTGATGCGGACGCTCTAATCTAATGCAATCTAATCCTGCTGGGAGAAATGCAGCAGCTGCATCGCAACAAAGTGCATCGCTGGCCCAGCAATTTTCCACTCAATATACTTGTGCTGACTTTTATGAGAATGCCGGACAAACGTGGTATGCCTTTGCTCATGATCCTGTGAGTGAGTCATAAAATCTTCTTTATCTTTTTATATGGCAGCCGGATAACTTTGTCTCTTACTGCCACTAATTGAATTGTTTTCGAAGGGGCCAGAGAGCCCTGGAGAATGCATTTACTGCTTTGCAATAATGCCAAAATTAAATTCCTTGAAAGGTTAAGTATGTGCAGTAAACGTTAAGATGAGAAAACTATAGAAAAATAGCCACTAAGACCTCTAATCTGCATAACGTCCTAGGGTGCCAAAGGAGACTTAAGCTATTGACAATAATGATGATTGCCTTGGGAACTTTGAAAGCTTTTTATTTTTGCACAATCCATCTTTATAGAACTTGTAAATGAAAAATATTTCCTAGATATTAATTCGTAGAACCATGACCCCTTTAGTGGATACTACCACATGCTTATTTATTCCCCTTAAAAGGATTCCTAAGCTATCCTGTTTTGCTGAATTTTAAGATAAGATACTGTTAACTTAAGGCTGTGGCTTTAATTGATTTTTTAGGCTTTCTTCCAGGCCTTTTATGTACGCTAATGTTTGCTGAATGACTCACCTGCCTGCTATCTCTTTCTCCGAGATTCTTGCCGTCTCTCTCCTTGGATTAAGGCTCAGCGAATGTCTTCGACGCGTTTCTGCAATGAATGAGATAAGTGATGAGGTGTGTGTAAGTAATTAAAGAACCTTAACGCATAATGGAAGTTAAGCTGGAACTGAGGCATGGTGTTGCTGTTGCCACCTCATTGGGTGTGTGACGTGTGTGTATGTGCTGCTGTCAGGTGCTCCATCAAATCGAGAGACGTGAGGTAAGAACCAGTTTAGCCATAGAATTTCTCACGACAGCCACACCATCTCACCCTTTAACCACGCGAGATTTTGTTTTTATGTAAATATAATAAGCCCCTGTCTGTGCGAGCGAGTGTCTGGCAGAGACGGCATCAATCATACGCCATGTTGTGTGCTGCGTTGAACGGCGGCTAAACGGGCGGAAACGCTAAACGCGCGCTCACTGAAACCCACACACTAACACTGGCAAGCCCACGCGAGTTGCAAAATTGAAAATTTATCGTCTAGAACACACGCACACTAAACCACAACATGAACAGCGGGCGCTAACAAGAAATTGTCAGCAACAAATTTAGCCGGCAACAGTAACTGCACAGCAGCAACACATCGCCGCACAGCGGCAACATAAACAGCAACAGCAACAGCAACAGAAAAGCACAGCAGCAACATCAACCTGCCATTCCGTGAACCTTCAACTAAGTTGAGCTGTTGCATGCGCTTCATCAACGTCATGCTTAGCCGCATTCGAGACATTGTAGGCATTGCATTTGCAACAGAGTGCAGCAGAGCAGAGCAGATATTGCTGGCGGGAGGGTTGTGTGAAGTGGGTGAGTGGGTGAGTGGCAGCACAAATGGGCGGTGATGTGCTCCCCCATAAAAATTCCAAACATGCAGCCACTGGGAGCCTCAATCACTCCATTCGCTGTGACTTTGTTTACTCAATTCTGCATTTAGATGAACTCACACAAAAGCCACAGTGTCAAAGTGGAGCAAAACAAATATATTTCACAATTTAAATTATAATAACTCGAGATGTATTAATTAATAATACAGTGATGAGAATAAAATAGGTTTTATTTACAAAACGAGGAATTAACCTTTTACGAGTAATATATTCCGTTGCCTACTTTTAGGCATTTTATGAAACTGTGCTAAAGCGTTTAAAGAGAACGATGAACTTTTTCTTTAACTTTATCATTTCTAAAAGTACTAAAAAAAGGTTCATATTGTTTTTTCCCTGTGCAGTTATGTGGTGGCTCAGTTGAATCACAAATTTATTTGGCCAGATCTCCGAGTCAAGCACGATTCCCATATGACATTTATGGGATCTGAGTATTCAGCAAGGGAATCCGCTAGCATTCTGTGCAGCGCTTTGTGGCCTTACATTGTGCATTCCGAACCAGTTAGATGGCTAATTTACGAATGCAGCTGCATTTAAAATCCAATTACCTTCACCGGCAACCAAGGTAGCAAGAAAATATAAATTACAAGCCATAATAGAAGAAATTCCAAGGGCCCACAAAAACGAATGCCAGAATGCATTTGCATGCGGCGTTAAGTGTGAATGGAAAAAACCTAGTGGTGCTTGGAAAACCTAGGAACAGCCCGGGAAAGGAAAACTGCGACAGAGAGAGAGTGACATGTGTGTGTTTTTCTGACACTGGATAAAGATAATCAACTTCCGTCATCAGGCGAAATGCGGCATGGCGGCAACAGCTCGACAGTTTTTAATTGAGTTTACGCTCCGTGTGCTGCGTTATGAGTGTGTGTATGCGGGGCTGCATGTGTGTGGTTACACAGAAAACAAATGTGTGAACTAAGCGACAACTTATTCGTATTTTAAGACCTGGGATTGTAGTCAGATTGCTAAGGTTACAGTTCCAAAAAGCATTAAAGAAACCCCGTTTCCAAGATACTAATTGGCTAAAATAAAGAACTGTTTGCGTATTCTTCGATTTTCTTCAGTGCTTGTGTGGGGAAGCGCATTATTTGCACTCAGCTGGAAATGACTCGCATCGTGGTTTTTGCACTTACACTTGCCGCCCTTCCATGCAGTCGCATGCGCTATTTGCCCAGCTTCTGCCAAGATTTTTAATTAAGTTAATGAAGTGCATCGTGTGGTTTTTGGCCACATTTAGGAACATTGCCAAGGAATCGCATTGCCCGGGCTTACTCAGTCCCCTTTTAATAAGGACATTAGGGGAAATCCACCGCACTCAACACATCGCATTTATTTACCGCTGGCCACATGGAAAAGCAATAAAGGATTCTCGTCTACACTGCGAGGATGCAAGTGCGCAGATCTCGAGAGCGGAGGGGGATAAAAAATGAAGCTCAGTTCCGAAACTTCCGGTTGCTGGCGAAAGTAAACATTAAATATTTATGACGCTGCACAAAAAATGCAATCAAAAACGTGAGAAAAGTTTCTATTGCATATTTATGTGCGCACTGAGCGGAAAGCGCATCAAAAAGGAAAAAAGCTACGAAAATATTGCACAAAATTCTGAGCTGACTTTCTAATGCTCTTACTGGGAATTAGAACAAGCTGATTATATTCCTCTGATTCCCTGAAGAGATTTATTTCCGAATGTGTGTCTTACAATAAGGAAACTGTTAAATGAACAACATGCTGTATAAAAATAAATCTCTGCAAAAATAAATCCTATACAGAATGCGATACGCATTTTGAAATATTTTTCAATGAAGAATGCAAAGAAACTATCAATTTACTAGCGACACATAATTACCGACGAACCCTTTAATAGAGCTCAGTCTGCCTTTGAATCGCAGGGCACAATAGACTCGAGCTCGCTGTGAAATGTAATGAATATAAAAGTGTTGCCAGCGATGAAGGTCGGGGGGTGGCTTGGGAGGAGAGGGCTTTGGAGAGCGCTGCACCGAAATGGTTTTCAATTTAGTTAATTTATGGCGCGCATTGTTGGCTCTGGAATCGCACTGGCACACAATGGGCATATTTATAGCCGTTTTATTTTCCCATTTCAATGCAATTACCCAAGCCGAGTGCCGCACCAACCGAAATATATGCTTATAAATGGTGTATTTTTGAATGTTTTCCTTTTTTGTTGGCTTTGGAGGAGGTACGGGGGACAGCTTTCAATGAGACGGCGGAAAAAGTGCTGAGCCAAGAATATATACCCGCACTCCCCGCACAAAATATATATCTCACTGTCCATTGTGCGGAGCAGCTGTCCGAGAAGCAGCACTTATCCAATTTGAGGAGCCACAATGGCCAAGGATCTGGCAGCCCGTAAATTCCGGACCCGCCAGGTTGGAGGACATTAGAACACATGTCGGGATGTTCCGCTGCTGCTACCGCTGCTGCTACCGCTCCTGCGGCGCCTGTTAAGTGCAAAGTTTTAACGCTGGTTAGCAGCTGCTAATTAGCATAAAGTTGGCTCAACTTTCGCGCCACTCTGGCACACATTCACTGGGAAAAAAGTGTTTTTGCGATCAGAAAAACTGGAAGACAAACTAAACTTGTTTGGCCTAGAAATAGATCTTAAACTGGGATTACAAATTTTATATAAAATAATGTAAACCCTTAAAGATATCCCTCGTAAAAGTTAGTTTATCAGAAATATTCATGCTCAACTTAAATGCAAACTTAAAGAAATATTTCCTGAGAGAAACTCTCCTTAATTCCAATTTTCATCCAGTGTATCAGCAGACAAGAGGGTCCATTCATTCCGCTTTTTGACAGCGTCACTTGCCTTAGTCCGCGTGACGGTGCAGCATCTCACTCGCATCCTTCAGCTCATCCTGCTCCTTGCTTTTCTTTCTTCCCCTGCTACTCTTCAACTCGCCTCGGATGGCGCCGGCTTTCGCTGTCGTCTTTTGTTTAGCTTGGAGCACGTCTCGCTCATCTCTTTGATAAATATTAGTTTAATTCTTTTCAGGAGATGGGACTTCCAAGGCTGCGCTCCAGCCTCTTTAGTGGCTCGTTTTCTTATTTTATACAATTATTCGGTTTCTTTTTCCACACTTTATTGCCTTGGCGCATTTTGTGTCCTTTGTTTGGCATTTCATTTCGCTCGCCTGGCTAAGTGAAAAATGTAAATATTTTCCTTTGATTGAAATCCGAGAATCGAGAATTACGGATGGCTGAAAAACTGCTGGTAACTCGATCAGCTGATAAATTGATGGGGACTTGCAGAGGCAAGAGCTCTCAATTCATTCTCTCTGCGAAAATATCATAAAACTTAAACGTGGGTTTAAGCAAGTTGCTTTTGTTTCATTCCTTCTTTAACAAATTGATTTTCATTCAGGAATATCGGTTCATATGCCAGCTGAATTATCCGTTTTTCATCCGATTCATCCGAAAGAAAGTCGCCAAAAAAGTGGTGCCAACTTAATTCGATGCCGGGTGGCCGAAATCCGACCAAATCTCTTGGCTCGAATAGGCGGCCTGCAATTTGGCCCATTCAGGAAGATGCTTTCCATTCTACGGATTCGCAATCAATGGAAGCTGGCTGCTCCTTTTTGGCTTTTTTTTGCTGTGCCGAAAACTGTGAAAATTGGCAAGTGACACAGCCTCGATGCATTTCGGTTTTCCGTCCTCATTCATTGAGGGGAAAACGCTGTCTCTGCGATTCATTCATGGGATACTTATACGTACACAGATGCTTTTCCGCCTTTACTCTGTGACAAGCTGTCTGATATTTGCCAGATTTCAAAGGCCAACAGACACGTTTCTGGCATACGGTAGCACCCAAGCCCCCGTCGCCACCCTTTCCTTTGAGCGGAATTATGATTTGATGACAGGGCGCGGTGACGTTTAAATTGAATTTTCGATTTTTAGCATGTTTATTTCACATCTGACTTTGTCCAAACTTTTCTGCAGAGCACAGTCTAAATTTAGCCCAAAAGGCAAGCAAACAAAAAGCCAAAGACGAGAAATTTCCGCTGACAGTGATGTATGTATGTGTCTTTGAAGGCTCGGCAAGGGGCGAAATTTCCAGGGGGCACGAGCGACAGGTGCAAATGTCGCTGCTGGGTCGAGCAATTTGTCGGAAAAGTTCAGCGCTTGTCGGCGGTCAGCGGTCGGCAA